TCTCACTGTTCTACTAGGTATAGTCACTGGCATAATGTTTCCCTTTTCATCTGATTTGACTATCACTCTAGATAACCAGTCCACTTCTCGTGTGACAACGGTCAGTGAGAGACATATATTGTCAAGGATTGTAGCTACTGTAGTATCCTTTATCCACTGACCTGCCAGCCACCTCCTAGCATAGGGTGCTACAATTCGCCCAACTGGGATTTCAATTACATTAGAGGCAGCTTCTGTTGGGGAAAGTGTTGGGGCACAAAGGTTTACTAGTTGATCTGTCAATTGTCGAACTGTTATGTTATTATAAACAATATTTTCCCAAGGTATTGTTGGCCATTCCTCTGTTATGTCCCTTAAATTTATAATGCTAATCAATTTTCTAAGAAGACTGTTCTTCTTGTAATCTGTCAATCTTTGTACCTGCCCTTTCCGGTCAACAAACCAAATCGGATTCCAACCAAAAATGATTACAGATGCCTCTTGTATTTCTCAAAGTCTTCAAAAATTCTTGATATTCTTTCACACTTCTCCATTCACTTTGGTGTTCATAATTTGCATCAAATCTGCACTCGTCTTGTACATCGAATATGCTCATTCTGTTCTTTTTTAGGATCAGGACAGGCACAAAGATAATCTGTCTAATTTCTCTGCTTTCTTCCCTATGTCAGCCTTCACTTTTATCAACGGTTACTCACACACATACACTCCACTCATGCACACACAACACTTTCTCTTTGTTAGTCACACGCACAAATCAAATCAACACACAGGTTCTCACTCTTTCTCATGTGCACACACACGCATTCAGGCACACATATACACACACACACACACACAGGTTCCTCACTTGCACACACACACACTCGAGGCCTTCTCTCCCACACTTTTGCTACTCTTTTCGCTACATTCACACAGACCAAAGAGAAAAAACACCAAGCAGCTTTTGGTCCCTTTCTCTTTCTTTAGGAATGAAAAATCAATCACTTCTTTATCTGTTTCTTTATCAATAATTCAGTTTCACAATTTGGATCACAACGTCGGCAACTTGGACGGTGTCCAAACAGCCGACAGAGCCAATTTCTTTGCTTTTTCATTCCAGTTAAATCAAAGAGCATTTACATAAAACATATATGTCACACACACATTCAGCTTCCCACACAGCGCAAAGCAGCCAACACAGTTAATCATTCAGCCAAAACATTCAATGCTTCAATGTTTCCAACACTTTGACGCACATACAAATATTTTTACAACATATAATGGACAAACAAAGACTAACAGTCTAACTCTATTTAGTCTGCAGACACCTGATTCAGCCGCCCTTCCCTCATAAGCACCCCTCAAAGCCACGTCCCACTTTCTCTGGACGGCTCTTTGATTCCTGGACTTACTCACTTTGGGAAGTCTCTGAATAGGTTTTTTAGTGCCCCTTCACGACTGACACAGTGCACTTCTTATATACACTACTTATATACAAAATCTCTGTGTCCCTTGACACTGTGTACACAAAAACTTAATACTCTGATCAAAGCAACCCCTCCCTCATAAGCACCCCTCAAGGCCACGCTCCACTTTCTCTGAGCGGCTCCTTGATTCCTGTGCTTGCTTATTTTGGGAAGTCCTCCCTCATAAGTACCCCTCAAAAGCCATGCTCCCTCTTTTCTGAGCGGCTCTCTTGATTCCTGGGCTTACTTATTTTGGGAGGTCTCGACCCAGTATTTGTGCCCCTTCACGAATGGCACAGCACGGTGCTCTTCTTATATACAACTTATATACAAAAGCTTTCTACTACTCTAAAGCAAGTGAATCTCTTGACATCTGGAACTCCTCAATTCCACTTTTACTTTACTTAATTTAGTTCAAATTCAATATCTTAGATTCATTTATTGGTGAAGCCCTGTCTCAGATTACCATCACAGGTGTGACCTTAGTCAACCACACAAACAGTCTTATTTCCAATTTAAGCAAAATATTGCCTACCTCGTTTTTTTTTCCAGGGCCCCCTTTTTAGAGATCTGTTTGTATGGCCGTCCAGGTACCCCACCCACGATGGTCTTCGTAGACGTTGGACCCCAAGCCAATCCTGTTCGTGACGCCAATCTGTTGTGGATTTTTCTTGGGAGCGGCCAATGAAGTGGAGAAGCAGAGTTCCAGATGTCAAAATAAGACTTTATTTAACAAAGAAACAAAGCCGGGAAGACAGTCACAGCATTCCAAATCATTCCAAAGTCTCTGTTTGTCAGCTTATATTATATACCCTTTGTTCTCTCCAAATTTGGTCATTTTCTGTTTTTTCTTTGTTCCGGTTATTTTTTATTGGTTATAGATACCTGATTTGCCACAATTGTTTCCAACCCTTTTGGCCTTGTTTTCTAATGGTGGAATGTGGTCCGAGCAACCATTTTTAAAAAAAAGCTTTTATTTCATTGGTTGGTAGTGGTCACATGAGGAGGTGTGCGTCAAATCCATCCACCTGCTCCTGATAATATTAGATTATTTCACAGGTGTACTGTCTAATGAAAAGACTATTATTCGTTCTATGACATCCAGGGTTAACATAATTCAGCATATTAATTTATATATTGATTACTTTCATTTTCACATAATACTTCAATAAAATAACACAATAGTCGCTTGATAAAAATATTAGCACCATTTAAACCGTTTTCTATGTGAATACATTATAAAATATAATTTATTTCTGTGATCAAAGCTGTATTTTCAGCATCATTACTCCAGTCTTCAGTGCCACGTGATCTTCAGAAATCATTCTAATATGCTGATTTGCTGCTCAAGAAACATTTCTGATTATTATCAGTGTTGAAAACAGTTATTTTTGTAGTAACGCTTACGTTTTCAGTATTCTTTGATGAACGGAAAGTTCAGAAGAACGGCATTTATTTGAATACACATATTTTGTAACATAATAAAATATCTTAGTCACTTTAAATGAATGCATTATTGAATAAAAGCAATAATTTCTTAAAAAAAAAAAAAAAAGATATCTTATGGACCCCAATCTTTTGAACGGTAGTGTTTAAGAAGAGGCATTTCAGTAAACTGTTCTGAGAACTGTGAACAAACCTGTAATGTCCTGTACTTCTCCAACACAGATGGCTAGAGGATTGTCTCCATTCCTTCCTTTGAGATCATAAACTCTCCTGACGCCACACAGGCCAGACCGTAGATGGTGTCAGTGGGAACGGCCACGACCTGCCCCGCTTTCAGAGCCTTGACTGCGGCGCTCAGGATCTCCGTCCACTCTGTGCTCACAACGAACACAAACTACAGGCATATTCTTCAAAATACTGATCTCAATTCTCCTTCTTATTAACAGTGCTGGGGAAAGTTACTTTTAAAAGTAATGCATTACAATACTGCGCTACTCCATAAAAAAGTAACTAATTACGTTACTTAATTACTTTTTATGGAAAGTAATGCGTTGCGTTAGAAATCTGGACAGGGCTTGCTTGATTGATTTAAAAAAAAGTTATATTTTTTGGCAAATATAAAAGCCTTTCACAGCCAAAGTGAAATGAATAAGCCTCAGGCTGAAGGGAAAGTACAGTAGAATGCAGAAGAAGACATTTCAACACTTCAGCAATAAACAAAGACACACAAATGTTCGTCTAGAGTAATTTGTGCTTATTAGTACGCTTGAACTGGATCATCAGAGGTCAGAAGCAAAAACATTGGTTAATAGAATGGGATTAAATACATAAAGGATATTAGTAAACATTTAATTATTGCAGGTTTGCGTTATATTCCGAGCATTTTTTATTCATTTTGAGGAATACTGAATTAGTTTTTTTTTAATTTTGTGAGTGAGATGAATTAATGCATATTCATATTTATTTTAGAACTACAGTAACATCTTCTGATTTCTCTCAGCATGCGGACACCAGAGCTGTCGGTCAACAAATTGGATTAATTAGTACTTGCGTTACTTATTTGAAAAAGTAACTCCGATATTCTCCTGTAAGTTCAAAAGTGATGCGTTACTTTACTAGTTAACGTTACTTGAAAAAAAGTAATCCGATTACGTAACTCGCGTTACTTGTAACGCGTTACCCCCAACACTGCTTGTTTAATATATACGTTAAGTGTCACATTAAAAAAAAAATACATTTATTTTTGCAAAACAATTTTCAGATCCATCATTATGAAAACCATTGCATTTTTTTTTTCAGAATTGTATATTTTGACAACACGTACATTCCTAGCTATGACATTATGACAGATATTTTCTCTTTGTTAAAACTATGACAAAAAGTAACTTAATTGAAACTCATCCCCACCACAGAGCGTCTATTCAAGATAAATACCAGCCGTTGGACATTTTAGAGACAAATGGCATGACTAGTGTGGCGAGTGTACTTGAAGAAGAGTTTATCGACTGAACAAGCACGGCTCTTACCCTGCTGCTCCCCGGGGCTCTGCGCGGATAGCCGCAGGACTCTCGTCTTCAGCTCGTTACTCACGCTGGCGCTCCTAAGCGGCATAGCATGCCGAACTATGGCAAGCCGTTTTGACTTTTATTCATTCTCAGGATATGAATTCTTGATATCAACAATTACATTTTCACTAGTTAAAATGTTAATTCTTGATATCAGGAACTGGATTTCTACTAGTAACAAATGCTATTTTTGATATCAGCAATTACATTTCCACTAGTAACAATGTTAATTATTGATATCAGGAATTACTTTTCAACTAGTAAAAACTATAATTCTTGATATCTGTAATTGTATTTTCACTAGTTAAATGTCACCATAGGCTGCCATTCAAAATCAATTGTTGATATCAAGAACTGATTTCTTACTAGTTGAAATTCCAATTTCACATATCAGAAATACAATTCTTACTAGTAAAAACCTTTATTTTTGATATCAGTAATCAC